TGTTATTATTATTATTATTATTTTTTTTTTTTTTTTTTTTTTTTATTCAGCATCTCACATACAAAATTTCAATTTGTATCATCATAAAAACAATACAATAACATTTCATTAAAAAGACACGGTTACATAAATAGAGGAATATAAAAAACGATGCCATGGATAACCCATAAAGTTCAGAAACTTAGTTTCAATGTGGTCCATATATCATCATATTATTATTCCATATAATAATTAACCCTAACCATAAGTCGTGTCAGCCTGGGCTAACGAATAAACAAAATCAATTGGCTTATAACAACACTTTTCATAAAATGATTTGGTGATTAACATTTAGCTAAGTAATTTAGAGTATTAGTAGCAGTTGTAGCAGCAGTAAGAGTAGTAGTAGTAGTAAACGAAAGAGAATGAACAAACGCTAGAACATTATTGGGCATGTTGCTGTTTGTATATAATTATAATACCTTTTAGTAAAAAAACTGAAATATTGGAGGAGTATAGTAATAATGATGAATCCATTGAAATAAAGATACAACAGTAGGTCTTCTTATAACTGATAAGCGAGATCTATTTAAATGCTATAAGTGTACTTTGGATTGAGGTTACAGACACCCATAAATTCACGTTCTAAGCTACGTTATTTGATAAACAGATAATAATCAAAAGCTAAGTTTAGTTTTTCCGAGGGATCTACATTTTTATCTAGCAGTATGTTTTGGTTGAATTCCCATTTACATACCTATGTAACTATCTAATTAGAAAATTAAGTAATTCTAGTAAATTCGTTTGGAGGTCAAACTGATTTTTATTAAAGCAGTTATTAGTAGGTTTCTATGTCTTGACATTATTAAGGAAATTAAATCTCCTTAAGTAACAATTCCCATATGTTTAAGTATAATTTCAATGATTAATCTAGCAAAAGCAAACCTAGGTGTTAATTACTTAATTAGGGGTTATATATTAATTGACAGGTTTATTGAAAAAAATGTACTTGTTAATAATAATCAAATGAATGTTTACTAATGAATACAATTGATTTTATTTATCTTACTTTTACTACATAAGCTATTTATATTCACTCACGCATGGTTTGAAAACGTATTTCTCTGACTATGAAGTCAACTGAATTAGCCTATTTTTTTAAAAGAGAGTTTATAAGATGTATACATTTTGTTTTGCAAAAATTTTGCCTATCTGAAATATACTGTGAGACTATACAATGTCAGATATTCTACTCCAAAAACAAAATGGAATATCTTTCCTTAGTAAAAATATATTTGGTTAAAGTTATAAGATGTTAAGTTATTTCCATAATCATCATCAAGAAGATTATCTATCTTAAAACGTAAGACGGCTAAAGCACGTTAAAAAAAAAAAAAAAAAAAAAAAAATATTAAAAAAACTTCGTAGAGGGCGGCATTATAGAATAATTCAGAAACGGTAAACGCTTTGTGACAAGTTTGATTGCTGATAACGAAGGGGTTTGAGCATACATGTTTTACAGCGTACAGCAAAAAACCCCTTCGATGTTTGCTCGATTCTTGAATCTAATTCTAGGTACAAATGAGCAAACCTTTCAGTTTTAATCCCGGAGTGACACAATTGCAGTAAATTAAACAAATGCGGTCTTAAAAGCATCAATGAAAAACATTTAGCACTCCACCATTTACCGCTGGGACTTCGGCTTATTCGCAAGATGGCTGTTTTATTGATATTTCGTTATTTCATTTTCAAATCTATAAATCAACTTGGAAATTCCATTATTAAATCTAGGTCGTTAAAATACCAGTTACATCGGGGGGAAATAGATGGGCTAGACTGTTTTTCTCATTCACATTTATGATCATTATGTAACTGCGTATGTCAAGCTAAGAGAACAAGTTCATGTGCTGTAAACATTATGCATTCGTTATTACGTCGATTGCCGTATGTACAGTATGATTATGTATGTATCTGTAGATCATAAATTGCATTCTATTAAGTAACGTATTGGTTTCTAAAAATAAAATAGTTGAACTAAAATACATATTCATTATACTTTTCACATATTCCCCATTCACCCTATGCACAAAATGTAAATGTCATTCACAAACATTTGGCCTTTGTATAGAAAGTACCAACGAATATATTCATCATAAATAAAGCCTAATAACATTAATTTCAACACGTATTGTAACACGGTTTATACGAATGCGAATACGACAAACTTTTGGCAATTTTTCTCATACGATTCAAATTTAAGTTTAAACTTGATACCATTCTCTCTAGTTATGCATAATATAT